AAAATAAAGTACTCCCTCTACCCATCCACAGTTTGCTCGATTTTGCTTATCCCTCCACCCTTCCCCGTGTCACATCAGCTGCATCAAATTGATTTAGGACAGTGAGCATTTCCTCAAAAAATTTAATTCCCCACGAACACTTAACAGGACCAACCACCACATCCAAAAAGTGTGATGGGAAAAGCGCCAGAAGTTGAGCTAAAATGAAGGCCGAATCCTTTAGATCAGGGAGGCGGGGGAAAGGGTCAGGCAGAAAGAGAAGCGAAAGGAAAAGCAGGGCAGGAGGAGAGGCACGAAGGAGAGGAGGGAACGAAATTAGAACAAGAGGAGATGTTTATTAATAACCTTACTGACCCACAGGCCCTTGACACAAAGTACATTAAGGATTCTTGGAACACTCCGGTGTGTCACTCACAGGAGAAGCAAATAAAATGGTGTTGGAAGCTGCAACCTTTCTGAGAACAGATAAAAAAGGTGAAGAAAAAAAAAAGCAGAGTAAGGGAAAGGCATAGACTCCCAAGCTTGATTAGGCTCGCGGCCGGGGGTCCCCTATCCTCCCCGGCAGCATCTTCTCCAGGCAGTCCACCTTCCGCTGACACACTTCCAGCAAACTGGGATTTAAACACACAGGAAAAATATTGTCCTCTTGGTTGCAAAAGGAGTAATTGTCCACGGTAGAACATTTGAGAATGACAGACAAGCACGATGGAGTGAATAAAAATGGGCTCTGATCCCACCTCTGAAGGGTGTCCTGCTGGCACTGTGATATACATTGCCTATTCCTAGTCTTCGATTTTTTTTCACACATATATCTGTGTATTTGAAAAGGAAGACCCAGGCCCTGCTGTGGTCCACTCTTTTGTAAGCTACTTTTCCCATTTGACAAGGCATCCAAAATGTTTGTCTCACATTGTTAAAACCACTTGGATTTTATGTCAAAATTCTATCTCCCTATAGGGAGGAACTGTGACTTGTTTGACCTGTTACTAGATAGTTGTTTTATCGGTAGCTCTTTGCTTTTATGAAAGCTTTGTGTGTCTCTGTATTTCCTCTGTTTTGGAATACATGAAAATCCCCAGTCAAACCTTTATTTTATTTTACATTTGGTCCATTTTCAGAGTTGCCCTCTGAAATATTTACTTTTGCCAATTTATATGTCCACGCACAGTGAATGAGAATGCAGATTTCACAAAGTAATATTAACTCTTCCCAAAATAAGACACTTGGCATCCTACTGCGATTTATATTCTTTTGATTATTTATGATGTGACTTTTCTTCACCTTCCTTGATAATGTGTCCTGTTTTGTATATATGTGATTTACATATTTATTTTTAGTTTCACTTATTTAACTTTTGCCTGTGGTTTTATGAAGGTATCCACTGATTATTCTTTTAAATTATGAAAGTTTCTTGTAGCTAAAGTTTATTAACTCTTTCCCTGTCACGTTTTGCAAGCATTTCTGTTTTGTCATTAGGTTTTTAGTTGCCAGTACATTCATGTATGTGCTTATGGGTTCAAGTATGTAAATATTTTTCTTTATTCTTCCTTCTGCTTTTATGTTTAGAAAGTCTTTGGACATCCCAGGGAGAAATAAACATTAGCTTATATTTTCTAGGAGTGATTTTTGACTCTTTACTTTTAAAAACATTTAGATCTCTTTTCTCAGGAGGTTATTTTGTTTCATATGCTAAAAATGTTTATAAAACATTTAATGAAAGCCTTTTTCCTTACTGAAAACATTGTAGTTATTTGGCATGATTTTGTGTTTTTGCATTTTATTTTGTTATCTTTTTTGTCTCTGTCACTTTTCCCCAAGCCCTCTTTTGATTATTATAATTTAAAAATATGTCTGCATATCTTATAATGTAAGTTTTTCCTCATTAAAATTAGTTTTCTGGGCAATGTTTTCTCATTGTTATTTCATCAGGTTAAACTCATCAGGTTAAAGACAAAATATATTACATATATATATATACTCTTGTACATATATGTGTGTGTGTGTGTGTGTGTGTGTGGTGTGTGTGTGAATTTAAAGCCTTTTGGTATTAGGTTTGCTCAAGCAAAAATAAACCATGAGTTCACGTATTTCTTTGCATATGATCTCCTATAAAGTGAGAGTTTCTTCATACCATTTCTTAATGTAGCCCCACGTTCATTCAGTGCTATTGTGCATGCAATTTTCCTATTACCTATTTTTAAAATTTTTATTTTAAAGAAAAGGAAACAAAAAACCAAAAAACAAAAGACCCCACAAAGAACAAAATTCCAAAACAATATGATAGGTCCTACTATATTTTATAAGTGTTTATTGGAAAAAGTTAATTATTCATTTCTTGCTTTGTACTTATCACTTGTCTGGTCTCTTGTTCCAACAATTTACCAATTTGATTATTTTTTAGTTATCCAGGATAATATCATTATCACTTGCAAATAATGATCTTTTCTTCCCCTTTCCAAAGTTATGTAGTTTTTAAATTTTTTCCCATCTCATTACAGAAATCTACAGCTCCCCAATTATTTAAAGATATCCTTCACTAGGAATGCCTCTAATATTTTCTTATTTTGAATTCTATTTTTGGTTAGTTTGGGCTTTTAGGTAGCTTTTGGGTTCACTTCCTTTCTAGAACTTTCTGTTTGCATTGTGTGTGTCTCAAACCCCTCTACCAAGTCTTGAATAAGTGTTACCCCTTTCATATTCAAACATTTTTCTCCCTCCTGCACACCCCCTGTATATATGTGTCAATTCTTTTCTTCAAATCTAAATACTCGTTGTTTACTGAGTATAGAATTTTCCTTTAATTCTCAGACCAACACATTAAAAATCACAATTGCCACCATTTTACTCAGTAAATTGTAGGAAACTACCCAGCCATTTCTTGCCAACTTGCAAGTTAATATCCTGCATAAGATTATTTTTATGTTTGTGTTTTAAGAATATGCTAAACTATTTTCTCACATAGAAATTATCATTTCATTTGAATTCGCTGACTTTTTGCCAGTGGGAAGTAAAAATAACCTGGGACTTTGCATTTGCCATGTAAAAATGATTGGTTCCGTGGGTTAGATGGTGAATACAATATGAGAAAAGAGACGGAGGGCAAGAAAGTACAGCAACAAGTTAGCGGTAGCGCTGGGGTTGCTATGGGAAGGCAGAATGGCCAGTGCCTTTGGCGGCTTGATCAGATCATTGTGTCCTCCTGAGTATGGGCAGCTTCACCTCCAAACTGTGAAATAATGGGAGAGTTAGAGACAAGGTCTGTAAAGCAATTAGCCTGACACTTGTCACCTACTAGGCATTTACTCTTGTGTCTATTAAGTTCAAAGGCAGGCATATGGGCCAAATTTTCCATAGCAAGTGGAAAGTAAGGGCCCTTTTATTACCATGACTTTCTACCCTAACCCTAAGCAAGCTCAAGAATCTTAGGAGTTATCTAATGGAACGTAGTGTGCTGGGGGTGGGGTTAGAGGGCCCCCAACTTCTGCACAAGGTACTGGGTACTCTTAGTTTTGTGTTTCCTCCTCTGTCTTGCTCAGCCTTGTCCTCAACTGCCCATTTTCCTTGGACCACACATGCTGCACCAGTCCCCTGGTGCTGGTGCTATGGATGCTGAGGTTCTGTCTTCCTCCGTGGGAGACCTTTTGATAATGCACTAAATCGAATCCTGTAGCCAGGAGCCTGGCATTTAAGAATCTTGCCAGCACTCCTTAGATTTTTTAATTTGTTAGCCTGGAGAGCACCCCTGTTAGCATCGAACTTAGGTTTTGAGGCAGGATTAGAACTTTCTTCTGTCATTTCCAAAGCAAAAACTGAGATCTTTAGGTTTTTTTGTTTGTTTGTTTTTTTTTTTTTTGATGGGATATATTGGTATTATTATTGTTTAAGATCAATTATCCTTTACTCTGTATTTTTTCCTATTGTTTATTTTATCTCTCTTGCTTTCCCAGAGGGGCAGAATTAAGGCCCCCATTTGGTTTTTATTAGTGTAATCAGTTAATAGCTGTTCTATAATGCTTTACTTATTGTGTTAATTTTCTGTAGTTATGTCCAGAGGCAGCTTCCTGCAAGACCACATTTAAAAAGAAAAAAAAAATAAAAGGTCCAACTTACTTCTTTAATGGGTCCAGTTACCATTTATAGTTTCAGCTAAGATTATTGAACACTATTGATCTACAAGGTCATGCAAAATATAATAAACTCTCACTAGTGTTTAAAAATATGTGTGGTGGGCCTAAACATTCCATTAGCATGAGAGTGTACAAACGCTAATCCTAGTGTCTCTGTTGATATTAGCTTATCACTCCAAGTCTTTGAATTTGCCCTGATATGCCAGAGATTAGTGTGTGCTACTGCTATGCATACCATACCAGTCCCTGTGGTACTACAAACATGTGTCTGTAAACTCTGGGACCCAGGGAATATCGTCCATTGCTGTTGGTGATTTTAATGGGAATACATCCTGTGCATTTGATGTTTGAAGGAATACTTCTCAAATTAAAACAGAACTTCAAAGAAGACTGCTGCCCCCACTAAGGTTGCATTCTGATTTAGATAAACATGCAGAAAGGAAAAAAAATGGACTCAGCAGTCAACACTGTGGGTTCTAGCCCCTCCTCTAACATGAACTGGCTCTAAGGCCTCCCTCATTTTCTGCATGTGTAAAAGTAAGAGTTGAGATGTTGTTTCCTAGGGGATGGGTAGTCCCTGTTTGCTCTGTACTGAGACTCTCTGGGGAGAGAGCCCTAGCTGGTGATTGGATCAAGGTTCGAATCTTTCTCTTTCATTGTCGACCCTGCAGGTGGACATAGCACTTGATGCAAGATGGGAATTATCAATGTTTTCTCATCTCTTTCCCCTACTAAGGACTGAACTCAGCACCTCGTATGTCTTAAGCAAGAGCTCTACCATTGAGCTACAGCCTCAGCACTCCATCAGTATTTTAATATAGGTTGAATATCCCTTATCTATTTTGTGTTTTGATACAGGTTCTCAAAGCTGGACTTGAACTCACTATGTAACCCAAGCTGGTCTCAGACTCATGGTAATCCTCCTGCCCCAACCTCCTGAGTGCTGGTATTACAGATGTGCGCCACCATACCTGGCTAAGGGTATCCCTTATCTCAACTGTATCGGATGACAAATGTTTTGAGTTTCACATATTTTTAGACTTTTGGAATATTTGCATATACATAATGAGACTTCCTGGGGGATAGAACCCAAGTCTAAATACAAAATTCATTTGTTTTATATACATCTTATACATATAGGCTGGGTATTTTTTTCACAACTTTTTTTGTGCACTTGTGTTTTGACTACTATCTGGCCCACGAGGTCTTGTGTGAAATGTTCTTCTTGTAGCATCTATTAGTGCTGAAAACTTTTTGGATTTAGAAGCAGTGTGAATTGCATATTTTCAGACTGTGTGTGCTCAAACTGCAGTAAGTTTGTTTTGATGGAGGAACTTGAGTAGAATTCCAGTTTGAGAACTGTTAGTCATGACAGCTCTTAGAGAAAGTAAAGACAGTGCTAGACCACAGGTCACAGGGGCCAGGTGTGGGCCCTCGGTAAGTCACTTCACTTCCTTCATTCTTTGCTTCCTCCTTTGTCACATGAAGGGTCTAGAGAAGACTCACCAAAGAAGCTTCTAATGGAGAAGTCAAGGGCCTCACAGGAACTGCCATCCATGGGAAGCAATAAGAAGGTTCAGACATTCTGCAGCCTCCAGGGCCCAAGCTGATAGAGCCTGTGGCTTGTGATTTAATGCTTCTTGGGAAGAAGCTCACAAGGTTGCAAAAGGGGTGGGCTGAAAAGAGAGGAAGGACAAGGAAGCGGTGTGCTAAAGTTTGTCTTCAAATTATATGCAAAGAAGGAAATAAGGTCTCTCATAATTGCCTGTTATTAAGGTACAGAATGGATTGAATGCTGTATTTAAATCAGTTCAATGCCAAGTTCTTAGACCAGTGCTCCTCCTGCTTTGCCTCCTTCCAGATCCTGCCCACTGCAGGGATGTTTGGGAACTTTCAGGCAGTGCTATCAGAGAGTGAAACGGAAGCATATTTAAAGGAGGAGAGAAAGCGTCCACCTACAATTCAATGGGAAGAGTTGAAAGCATTTCAAGGAGTCTGAGAAATAATGCCAAAGTTTACAAAGAAAGAATCTTAACTTTGATATTATTTTCTCCTGTAAAGCAATTCGGTACCTCATTTTTCAAGTACTAAGCCAGAAATTCAATAGCTCTACTTAAAGGTCCTCATTTGCATCAAAGGGTTTCTTTTCTTCCAAAAAAGTTGAAAAAATTTTAAGGTGATAATCTAGAGAGATTAATGCATATTGCTTTAGCTGTTTAGCTCTTATAAAAACTATAGCAGCATAGAATAGTTGAGATTAAGAGTTAGATTTAAGTCATTGACTTAAAACTAGTGTCTAAATAAGAAATCTGTAACATTGATTTGATGGAGAAAGGCTTTATTAAGGTGAGATTGGAATTTTTCCTTCCAGTTGCTATTGAGGATTTTGATGGGAATGTATCCTTTATGGACTTTGATATTCAAAGGATTAGTTCTTAAATTAAAATGGAGCTTCAAATTGGAGTATAAGGATAGCTTAATTTACATGAAGGGTAAATCATGTGATAGATTGAGCTTCAATACTAGACTGCAGTTATTCTTAAGTTTTTAAAATCTGAACTCCTTCATAGACACAAATGTTAGACTGTCAGCTCCTTGAAGGTAGCTAATACTTATTATTCTTTGCCTTATGTCACCAGTGCCTAATGCATGTTTATTAGTGAGAAATAAATGCTCATTAAATATTCATGAAGTCAGATAAAAATACTTCTTTAGTTTTTAGAATTATTATAGAGCTGGATGTTGCACCATGGCACGTCTTTCTAATAACCACATGGCTTGGCCACTCATGCACCAGTCAAGGTGCGCTGTAGAGGCGGGTTGCAGGCTGAATTTCCCCATGCTTCTCCAGCCTATAAAGATTAAGAAACTTCAACTGCACATTAGCACTATGAATTTTTGGATTCCTCTGAAACGTCTGAAATGGTGGCATTGCTTGGTTCCTACATCTCTATGGTGACAAATAGCAGAGATCTAGGAGTAGCTGCTTCCTTCAGACAAGGGACTTTCACTGTCTGCCACCATTATGAAATATGACTGGGCCAAAGACTCATGAATTGAAGGCTTGGTTCCCAGCCCATGGTACTAGAGGGAAGAGGTAGAAACTTTAGGAGGTCCTGTCCAGAAGAAGGAAGTTAGGTCACTGAATGCGTGCCCTTCAAGGGGGATTTGGATTCTCTCATGTCTTTCTCTTTTGGTTCCCAGCAGCTGTGAGGTGCAGAGCTGTCTGCTGTCGTGCACTCCTGCCATGATATACTGTGGTACTGCAGGGCCAAAGCAGCAGAGCTGGGAGACCTTGGACTGACACCTTTGAAACCGTGAGCCAAAATAAAACTTTCTTCCTTAAAAAATGATTTTCTAGGTATTTTGTCATAGCAATGAAACATGCCTAGCACAGGCCCTTAGGTAGGATTGAGTGACTCTTTGGTATGTGTCTCTGTCACTGTTGGATTTGAATGAGTTAAGAATCCGGTATGAACTTAATAATTTCTCCAGTCCCACAAAAAGAGAAAGTGAGACTCTGAAGTACTAGACTTGGAGTGAATCTAGTATGCACGTTCTTACTACTTCTGCATGGCTCCTGTGGGAATTGAGCAGAATCCAAGCACTAAATAACCCTAATGATATCAGGTAGGAGCTCATCAGGGAGCTGTTCAGGAGTTTGTCAGAGCATATTAAAATACAATATATTCACATAATCAAAAAGGTACATCAGTCCATCTGTCTATACATTCCTTTCTGATGTTAAATTTGCCCAGGGACTTTTCAAAATTACATCATCTACTCATGCCCCCTTCTTTAGTGAATAAAAATGTGAAAGAATGGAGAGAAATTCAGAATAATGCACAGCGGTGGAAGTCCTATAATTGAAATCATTATTGCTTAAGACACCATTGCTTTAATCAGCTCCATCATAAATCAATGCTTTCACAAGTGAAGGTTTAGAATAAAGTGCTGTTAAACAAATTGGGTCTCTTAAAAGCCGTGATGCAATTGGGAGGCTACTGAAAATGGATAAAAAAGTGCTTTCTGAATGGATACACTGGTTCCAGCATTTTATCTTCCACTTAATTTAAAAAAATATATTACCTGGTCCTTTCTTAGAAATTACATAGTGGAGGTCTATAATGGCCAAGCCTTTAACCCATTAAAAAAATTTACTCCCAGGCACAGTTAATATTTGATGTTTAATTGCTCTTTCTTCTTCGGAAAAAAAAGGTATGTTTCTTTCCTTCCTTTCTTGATTGACTTTTCAAAAATTGTCTGGTGAGCTCCAAAGATGAAGAAAAGGCAATGCTTTTCAAAAACTCAAGTGCAAGTACATCTATGTGCATATACACATGCATATATATATAAATTGCTCGTGTAGCAGGGGCTGCTACTTCCTCCCTATAACTCTACAAAGCAGGAATCACTACCTCCTTTTCATAGATCAAGCAACGGAGGTCTAGAAAGATTCAGTGCTCTCCCCGTAGAGTCACATAGGTAGTAAGTGAAGGTCGTCTTTGTTCCTTCCACTGTGTTGCCTGGATCTAAGTGTGCTCCAGACTCAGCTGTGGAGACATCCATGGTTCTCACCTTGGTACAACCAGCCTCTCAGCCTGCTTCACTAGCCCCACATTCGGGGATCTCCTGACAGTGTTCCACCATCCGCAAAGGCAAAGGAGCTCAGCTATGGTCGGAGGGCCCTCAGTGAGTCCTGCATTGTAACAGAGCTGGAAAGCAGCTGACCCACCTCCTCAGTCCTGTCAACTTAGATTTCTCAACAGATTTTTGCTTGGATGAGCAGAGAGGTCAGAAATCTTTTTACAAGAACAATGCCTGTGTAGACTTCAAATGAATCGTTGGGCCTCTCCTCATGACTCTTTTCAAGAGCCATTGGTTTGGAAAAACTAGAGGAAAAAATTGCGCTTCATTGCCTCCAGGTAGAAAATTTCCGTTTTGATATTGCCAGATTCTCCCCTTTCTCATGTGGTAAGTTTGATACCAAAGGCCAAAGTGCTCCCTTTCTTCCCTTTTTGTTTTCTCTTCCCACAAAACCAGGTATTATTAGGTCTCTTGAAAAGCTGCACAAACCAACTGCTCCTCCACAGATTATCCTTTCACCGCTCAGGTGCGGGGTCTCCTTGGGTTACACTTCCCATGACTTGTGGTCAGATGTGGGCTGGGTCACTCGGCTTTATTGCACCTTATGGGAAAATATTTGTATTTGGCCTTACAAGCCCCATTTCCCCTGGGAGCGGTTCTGCATATACTATCTTCATACTGGTGCTGGGCAGTGGGATGTTGGCTTTTATGCGACAACTGGACATCTGGCAGAAATCCAGGAAGGCTCTTTTTCCCCCCTCTGTGACTTCAGGCAGCCAATCAAGGACAGGGTTTATAAACATAGGATGAATTATTTCTGAGAGGTGAAGCACAGTACCCTGAGAAAGCATGTGGAGGGTACTGGCATATGGTGACAGAATGGAAATTTGCACTCTTCATAGAATTTGGGGGGCTGGGGCTGTATCTCAGTGGTAGACTATTTGCTTAGCATGCCCAAGGTTCTGCATTTGATCCTTGGCACTCCAAAAAAAAAGTCGCAGAATTTCCCCCCACCTAGACCTGAAAATGCAAATTATTATTACTTTGTGGGGAGGGTACCGGAAATCAAACTCAGGACCTCATGCTGCCAAGCAAGTGTTGTGCCACTCAGCTAAATCCTGGCATGAAAACACAAATTCTTACTTGTACACTTTAAAATTTTTTTGATTTCCTTTTTTGCCTCCCTTTTTCTCCCTTGCTTTTCTTTGTCTTTTCTATTTTTTTTTCAAACTCTTTTTTATTAGCGTATGCTCGCAGGACATACTGTTTGCATACCTTGTGTGGGGTCGGTCCATGTACATAACAGATCTTGATTCCCTTTTTCACCCCTCTCCCTCCTCTGCTTCCCTCTATCCTTTAATCTACTTTCCATTAGAGAAAGAGTTATCTCTCTACTTCCTATTACCTTTATGCTCTTTGTCTTCCAGGGAATGCTGAGATGGAACCTGTATTGTTGTGATAAGGTATGTTGGAAAAATCCTGCTGGAGACTCGCTGGAAGTTTGCATAAAGAGACACAAAAATATATGAGAACTACGCAATGATAGGGAGATGGGAGATGCTCTCCCAGTGCTTATAAACAGATAGGCAAAGTGTGCATGATCATAATAATTAACATTTGTGTGCTAAATATATGACAGTGCTTTATAGGCATTGCCTCATTTAGTATGTACATGGGCTTCGTGTAGTAGAAATAATTATATCTCCATTTTACAGATGAGAAAGGAGAGGCATGAGAAAGTTAGTTGATTTATCTGAAGTTATACTATTAGTGTGAGATTTCAATCCCATCTCCACTGCAGATCTTATACTGTTAACTTCTAATAACTTGTAATTCCTCATAATACATGGTTAACTTTATGTAAAAAGAAATAAACAGTAACCCCTCTCCCATACTGCATACCAGCAATGACATATTTGACAAGCTATATCCTTATAAGAAGCCCATGAAAAACTAAACAGAGCAGCTTAGACTGAGAGGAGATAGCCCAATTTGAGCAGGCTTGTCCACAAGCAGCTAGTAAAATAACTGGGAGCTATCTGAAGCAAGACTTAAATGTTTTAATGCTTTGCCTCTGGATGAGAATTAAGCACTATACAAATGATTTTTAGTTAAGAGAATCCCGTTGATATTCTGCCAATTCAAGGATGATCCAAAGGAAGGAATCTTACATGTAGGTCCAAAGGACTTTGATTCACTTGAGAATTTTCTCTTGGATTCAGGCCTAGATCAGTGTTTCTTAACTTAGGTTGCAAGAATTTAACTAAAAATATCAATGGAATTTGTGGACTTTTCTTCTCTACAGTAAAGCATATATGTTAATGATATCATACTGTATATCTATTTACTTTTATTCAAGAATATTAGATCCCCTCAGTCTGAGGATTTAAATTAGTATATCTCTTTCTACTTTTGTTTGCAGAATTTGTTTTATAGACAAGCTTGGTGGCTACCTTTTTCTAATCATTCAAGTATGGATGCAGTTTTTCTAGAATGTCATCTACACCTGGGTAAGTAAGGACTGTAGATAGCTATAAGGCATCATTTAATTTCAGCGTTTAGAAAATATGGTACCATTTATAATGGACACTTGTATTCAGATACATGGCTGAAAACTGCCTTTTGGGTTTTCCCTGTTAGTGTGAAGAAATGCATCCCACCCTTCAGCAAGAATCTAAGGTTGTACCCGCAGCATGGCTGCCTCTGTGACACAGAGAAAAGCTTAGCAAAGTGAATGCACAGTCCTACGAGCAGCTTTTCTTTCCGTGCCTGCGGAAGGGAACCTTCATTGCACACAGATGAGGTGTGATCAAATGATAGTGTGGATGTTTAATTTTTGAAATTGTGTTACAGTAAAAGACACACTCCCAGTAATTGCTCTCAGAAGACCGCTATCCCTGCTTCACACGCACTTGTCCTATCATCCTTGCCACTAGTTCTGCAGGTCCTCTTTCATGCTCTCTAGCTGCGCAGTTGTGGGTGCCTCAGTGTCCTGAATCAGTGCAAAGTGCCTACACTTTATGGTCATTTTGACTTTGGGGAAGAGCCAAAAGTCACACAGTGCCAAATTTGGTGAGTAAAATCAATGAGAACACACTTGTGATGTTTTTATTTGACAGAAATTGCCATTAACATTTTTAAGTGATTCAGGACATTGAGTCAGCCACAGAGATTGTCGCAAAAGAGGACTTGCAGGGCTGCTTAGGAAGGTGCTGAAAGATGGAATAAATGTGTTTGAAACAAAGGGGAGTATGTGGAGGAGGACTAGTGATAAAGTGCCTTTGCTTCTATAAATTTTAAAAATTTTAGTATTCATTATGTTTTTTGATCCCACACTTAAGGTATAGGGGTAGATGGACACAAATAAATGGATGAATGATGCCAGTGTGAGATCTGACAGTGACCATCACATGCAGAGTTCTGGAAGGGTCCAGGGAACCTTCCGGAGTGGTTGACTATGTTGCTAATAAGATGATAGCCTGGGCATAGCTCCATTCCCTGAAATATTTTCATCATCCAGAAGAGGGCAATTATTTTTGCCATTTCTGTTTTCTAAAAGAGAAGAATTCTCAGGTACAAATTTCGAAAGACTTCATGTACACTGTTTGTGGCCTATTCAGGATTGTGGGCCAAGGAGAGAGAAATGTCCTATTTAGAGGTCACGGGGCCGTCTAGTGCAGCAACTTCCCCTGGGCAGTCTCTGCCTATGTTACAGAAGACGGCAAAAATACAAGCCACCGTGCAGCTGTCCAATTATCCCCTGCTCTATCAACAGGGGGAAATTCCTTCCTCACTTCTGCCGGTGAACAGTTATGCCCCGGAGCCCAGGACGGACATGCCTTGTAACTTTTTAACCTAGTTAGTATAACTGCCAATATTATTCCTATTCATATAAATGTCTAATCCTTTCTTGAATCTTGCTAGACTATTTGCCTGAATAACATCCTGCGGCTAGGAATTCCACAGGTAGATTATACGCTGCTTAAAAAAGTATTGCCTTTTATACATTTTAAATTTGTTGCCTTTTAATGTCACAAGATGGCCCTTGCTCTTGTGTTAAGTGGTGCAGGATAAAGGCATTTCAGATTGAGCTCTAATTCTCCCAAGCACTTTCTTCACTATTATCAATTATTTTGTTTGTATATATTTTCTATTTTAGTACTTATAATTCTGATTAAATGACATGATTTTAATAAGTGGTTTTGCACTATTTTGAACACCTAGCAGACATTGGAAACAAAAATCTCCTTGCTGACATGGTTGTTTACTGGACAAATATTTACCAAGTATTTCTTTGCCTAAAAATTATTTGAATTTTGGAGGGACAGCTTTGAAAAAAGCTGAGTGTTTTTCTGGAAGGACCTAATTTTCTCAGGGGGAGACAAGCTGTAAAATAGTGAAAAAAATACATGTCTCGGCAAGACAGTAGAATAGTTATTTTTGTATAATTTACATCGTAGTAGTTATTATAAGTGATCTAGACATGATTTTAAATATTTAGAAGGACATGCATAGGTTATGTGCATAATCTATCATTTTGTACAAGGAGCTTGAACTCCTTGAAAGAGATTGATTCATCCTGGAATCAACTCCTTGTAGATACTGAGGGACGACTGCATTATGGGAAAATTCAGTGACCGGAAGAAGATGCTAGGGGCTACTTTAGATCCCACGGTCAGGCGTGGCTCTCTGCAAAGGGGACAGTTGAGATTGACCACCAAGGAGAAAGCCCCCTGAGGGTGAGCTCCAGTCCAGCTTTCAGAACAATGTCCAGCAGTAGTTTAGGCTCAGTCTTTATTTACTGAATGCATGAATGAATGAAGATTGAGCAGGGAAATCTTAGGGACAGAAATCACTCGGTAAGTAACACTGAGGAGTGACACCCTCTTGCATCCCTGTTGTAACTCTGAAGACTGTTCTGGTAGAAAAAAGTAGGAAACTGAGTTACTGAGACTGGTTTTAGGATCTGAACATGTTTCCAATGACCAGCTCTACGACCTTGGGCAAGTCACCTAACAGCTTTCGTCTAACACAGTCTCCTTTATACAGACGAGTGTCCAGCTTCCTTCTCTGGTGAGAGGGGAGGAGGTAATAGTATGTGAAAGTTCTCTGTAAACTGGTGAGCGGTGTAGAGATGTCTGTTATTCTTGTAGAAATCACTTGTTCTCAGCACTTGTCCCTCTAGCCTTTCATCCTGCCCTTTCCCCATTGTTTTCTCAGTTCACTATTTTATCTTTGCCTCTGCCAAAAGCCCACTGGTGTCCTCTGTGGTACTTAGCTTTCTGCCCCAGAGGTAGTTTAAGTGGGGTGGGTTTATCCTCCCCCAATTCTTGTCTATATTTTAAGAACTCTAACAATGCGATCAGATGGACTGCTGCTTGTTGATACAGTAAACTGGATGTGGATTTCAAATAGTGATTGTTTTCTTCTTAATCTTCTGGGGTCAGGTTAACCAAAGTTCTTTCTATCAAAGACAAAGTCCTTGCCTGGAGTTTGGAGGCATCTTCCCCCAGAAACCACAACTCTGGTTGGGGCGACCCCACCCCCTGTGTTTAACTTCACTGAATGTTCTGGCAGCGGCAGGCATCTAGCATTTCCTCATGGTACCTCTTGTTATTCTTTCTAATTGCCCCTTCGTGTACTTTTTTTTTTTTTTTTTTTCCATTTAGGCAATTTGAAGTAGAGGCATGCACCGCTCTGCATAATAATGTATTATAAAGGCATTTCAAGGAATAAATTATTAGGATTGTTTACATGCATGGTTCAAATTTACTGGCAAATTGCTCGGGCCTTGGTTTTATGATGTAGCTGCCAGCCGGGCTCCTTCTGGGTAAAATTCTGAAACAGGAGAAGCTGCCCTTCGCTATCCCTCACCAGCACTTCCTCTGCCCTCTTCCTGCCTTTTCAACACCTCCCTCCTTAATGGCCCCCAAATAACTTCGTGCGGCTCTCAGGCTTTTACACCTTCATGTGAAGACGCGCTGCGGGTCCTCCCCAGGCCCACCCCAGCAAAGGTGAGCTATGCAAAGGAATAAATCTTCAATGGTATAATTTTAGATGCTGTGGCAACTGGGAAGGGCAGCTATTTTTGGCTGTAGGGCTTTCTCCTTGACCTGACTTGATACTGCTTCACCCGCTGCTAGCGTGGCCCGCCAGCCCTGCACGCCACACTCCTTTTAGCTACATGCTTGCCATTCCTAGGGGCAGCTTCTTGTTTCTCCACCGTGCTGTTCTGTGGTCATCTAGCAAACTCTGTGTTTGTGAAAGGGCGTGGATCTGTCATAGCTGACACACCAAGGTGGTGGCCTGGGACACCTCTGGGGGTAGCACAGATGGACGGGACTCCCTTGCACATAAGGGGTGGAGGAAACTTGCTGATCCAGTTTCTGCATAGTCCTCAGCCGCCAGCTTTATCAGCTGCTCAGCCAGCCTTGTATGAGTCACTTCTCTCTGAGCTATGTGGGTCTCCAGGCCTCGGTTTCCCACCTACGTGTTCTCACTGGAAACTAGAGGCCGAGTGAGCGCTTCTGCCCATCCCACTTGCTGTCTTCCCACTCAAGTTCCTGGCGGGGCTGCTGTGTGCAGACCCCCTGGACTGTTGGGAAGGGAGTCCGAGTTCCTGCAGCACATGGGAACAGCCATGAGAAGATTCGAAGGAGGCCAAGAATAACAGGGCTTTCCAGATGAGGGGCGTGCTAGAGCCAAGATCATCAAGGGTGTCTTGTTCTTAGTTTTACAACCTACGAAGTACAGGGAAGATTCAGAGATTGTTCAGGAAGCAGGGATAAAGTCAGGAAAGGATGGGGAAATGGGACGAGCTGGCAAAAAGGAACTGAGTTGCTTTATGTCAGAAGAGGAACAGAGGTCTTTTATAGATATGGAGAGACCTGAGGCGCTCTGGATCGTAGCTCCTTTCAATTACCCTGGCTGTGAAAAAGGAGAGAATGAGAAACAGGGAGGGAGGGGAAGACAGGGAGGGACAAAGGAGAGGGAGAGGGAGAAAGAGAGAGAGTCTGATTAAGAAAAGTAATGAAGAATAATAAAAAAGGCAGAAAAAAAAATCCAGAGACAATATTGCCTTCCCTTATCTATGTATCTTCCCATATCTATGTATGTATCTATGTATTGCCTTCCCTTATCTATCTATGTATGTTTCTATGTAAGATAAATGTAAGGATATTTATTGAAAACCAATGATGTCTGCTCCAGTTATCTTTCTAAATGGCAAAGCGCCCTAAAATTTGTTCACATTAAACCGTAGCTGTCATTCTGTCCTGATCTGCCATGGTTCTGAGTGCCAACTGGGGCCAGCAGGTGGCTTGCAGCGGGCAGCCTTTCTTGAGGGTGAGGGTGGACACTGCTAGGGCACCCTTCCTCACATGTCTGATGGCTGCTTCTGGCCACGAGTGCGTCCTCAGCTGTTGCTGCCACCTGTACAGAGTCAGCCTCCCCCCGTCGTCTCATCTTTTGCTGCCTACATGGCTGATTGGAACCCCAAAGATGAGGGTCC